TGCGTGATGAGGTCACGGCAGCCCTGTCACAGCTGTGTGTGTGTGTGTGTGTGTGTGTGTGTGTGTGTGTGTGTAAGTTAATGCCTGGCCTTTCTCCTGGAGGATCAATAGGAGCTCTGTTGCTGCGGTTACAGGAGAGATCAGAGACTGACTCTGTCCCCGCCTCAACCATCATGCTTCATCATCTGATATGAGTGTGTGTGTGTGTGTGTGTGTGTGTGTGTGTGTGTGTGTGTGTGTGTGTGTGTGTGTGTGTGTGTGTGTGTGTGTGTGTGTGTGTGTACATTTATAGATGCACTCTCATACAGGAGGCAGACAGAGGACGGTAAAAGAGACGGAGGAGAGATAAAAAATAAAATTCAGATGAAAAATCTTTTAGAGCTCCATCACTTCTTTAAAGCTCGACTCTTTCCCTTGGCTTATTTTTTTCTCTTCTCTTCTTCTGTGGCTCTTTCAGTCTTTTGCACACATATCCACACGCGTTCAGGGAAATAAACAGAGCCTTTGGAGAGTTCAGGGACAGAGAGCGGGARTTTAGTGACTGATCTGATTTCAACAGCAGAAGCTTTTGGGCAAAACAAATCTCCCAAAATGTCTCGAGAATCAATGGKGCTAAATTGATGTACACTATATGGGAACCTTTCCTTATCTCAAAAGCAATAGTTCAGATCTTTTGAAGTCTGCTTCTGAGGAAATATTACGAATGAATAGTATCTTACCTGTTGTAGATAATTCTGTAAGCAGCTTCATTTTTGGAGAAATGGAGTTTAATCCTAACCAGACAATGGYGCTAACAGCTAACTCCAGCAAAGCAAGCTTAAAACTCCACTCTACTGCATGCACAAAAATACCTAATCTGAGCAAAATTTTCAGCTATATAAAGGTTTATAAAATGTCATTTATATGAAGTGCTAAAAGACCTTTTAGATTGAAGATTTTTAGCTTTAGCTGTTAGCTCAATGAAGTGGTCAGAATGAACAATTTCTCCAAACTGAAGCTGTTAGAAAAGCTGTCTTCAAATAATAAGATAGTATTTGTTTGTAAGTTACTCACACTTTAATTAACAGAAATTTGTTTACGTCTTTAATTAAATCTATTTCTAGTTTGCACAGATGCAGACTGAGTAACACTTTGTTTATTCTCATTATCAATTTGGCAACTAATGATAAAAAATTTGAATTTAATTAGTCTTGGACAGTGTTTTACGTTTCATTGTCAGTGTTTATCTGCAAAAACACAAGAAAATCAAACACGCTTTTAGAAAGCAGCAGAGGTGTAATCTTCTCTACCTCCTGCTCTCATGGCAACAACAATATGTGTTTATGTGCACAAGTGTGCACCGTATGTGTACCCTTTACTGCCAGTCCTGCCCTTCTGGCCTGCGTAGCCCCAGCAGCTGCTCCCTGCGCTGGGTTACATTCCTGGGGAGAGCCCTGGGGCAGAGCAGCTGCTTGGTGCACCTCTTCTCCTTTTTTCCCCCCATTTTTTTTAACTGCGTTTCCTCTCACAGGGCCCCTCTTCCTGACAGCACATGCAATTACGCAGTGACATTCCTTCATTTATTACTGCACCACCGCCCTGCCTATACTCTCCTCTACCACCAGTTTTGACACACACACACACACACACACACACACACTCAAGCACACGCATCAACTCCACAACTGAACATGAACCGGCATCTACAGCTCCCACAATTTGAATCCCACTAATAAAACGTGAGTGGAATCAAGATAAAAATGTAGAGCTAAAGTTTCACAGGCTYGATTCTGGAGATTAAGGAAGGATTCTTTAGATGGTCAGGCTTTGTGTAAAACCAAAACTAAATTTTTTTTGGGTAGCAGGTGTTGTGAGGCGTATTTTCAACTGTTAAACAGTTTATCCTGTCTCTTGTTTGCAGTAACATCTGCTCATCTAATTCAAGAAACAAGGGAATTTACATCAATGCTGACCTATTGCGCCACTCATTCACATCCTGTATAAAACTTATTTGCATGTGCGCTCCGCTGCACAATCAAACTGCGCTGATTAATAACAAAAGCATCTGCTAATAACGCCGTAGCGTCCAGGCCCGGTTATGAAACCTGTGGACACACCGGCTCAAACTCTGTGGGGTGGATTCTTGATGAACCGTGCTTGTTCTGGCACYTCCCACAGGTGTTTTATCAGATGAGAACATGAGGAGTGTGCAGACCGACGCAAAGTTCTGTCATGTTCTCGGAGCTGTTCCAGAGAAATTTATATTTTCTTTTGAGGAGCTGTAGATGAGCTTTCCCAACAGAACATATTGTTGTGTCAGGATTACTGTTATTCACGTCACCAGCTTGTGGTTTGAGTGTTAAACTCATTGGTTTAGGCAGCATCTGTAACAGTTTTCCTTTCTAATTTTCTCCCTGGCTTCCTTTGGACCCGAATGTGAGCTTTTATTTTTTTTATTTCTTGAGTGCCATCTTAATGAGCTGTTTGTCTCTCCAGTCAAATCTAAGTCCATTACGTCCTGTAAGAAAGCTATTTAAGAAGGCTTTTGTTGTTTTATTTTATTCTTTCTTAAAGGGCCAATATTATGTGTTTCTCAGGCATACATTTAAATACTATACCATAATAAAGTATCTATGTCACCTTTAGCTGTTATTAAAATGCTGTTTTATGTTTAAATAGAAAATAAACTTATCTTCTCATCACTTCCTCTTCTAAACGCCTTGAAATAGGCCTCTGTCTCTTTAAGAACCTCCTTCTGCTGTTCCTGTTTCTAAAACAAAAACATAACCTAAAGGGTTAACTTAAGGTTATATTTTTAGACTAAGGGCTTCCTCAAAAAAAAAAAAGATGGTTAGTTAAGTAACCTATGTATAATACCTCTATTTGTTTCTAACAAAATGTAAACCTAACAGAGAGAGAGAGTGAATGATGTGTAATAAAACATGAAATGT